AGTGGCGGTGACCGGACGAAATTTGCTTTCTGTCGGAATCCGTGCACATTAATTCCACCAATTTCCAAAACCCTGTATTGCAACCGAACTTCAAAATATTCAGTCAAATTCATTTTTTGAGATTCCGAAATTCGGTGTTCCGACTGAACCTCGAAACTTCAAAACGACTCGGCTGGAATTCTAATTCCATCAGATTTCACCGAACGAACTTCGGTCGATTACCTTCAATCGCTACATGTTACCTCAACAAAAACTTATCGAAATCTGAATTTTTTCATTAGATGTGATACGCTGAAAAGAGGTGACAGCGCTGTAAGTGATCATGCACAGAAAATGAATCGAAATAGTTTATAACACTGATTTCAAGGCACAGCACGTTAAACATCAATTTCGAACAGACACCGGTACGCTACACATTACAGTTATTCGTTTCGTTAGGGTCAAGTACTAAAAGTGAACAAATCAATAATCAACACAAATTTCATTACTAAAAACAACAATAAATTTATGTGTTAATGTTTCATTGATTTGAGTAAGGAGTGAGAACTCATCAGGATCGGTCGCTTGGCCACATTAGGGTAGTGAAACGACATATCGAAATTTCAATGGACCGAATAAGCAATCAAAATATCTGCTCCATTCCTTAGGCTCAGCAAACCAATGAATACACAATGAATGGAGATGGAATATCGAAACAGAACAAAAGTCATCACTCGCATAAACACATATTTGACCAAGCCATAGTTCACATTATACCGGCTTGTTTCACTCGGGTGAACCTACTGGTGATCTTATGAAGGGGCAAGATACAAGAACCACTATAAGCCCATGACATTCAAGATAAGAAGGGAATTCCGTAGAGTACGTAATCGAGTGAAGATTCCCGATTGCGAGCTGACGACAGTTTAGCATCACTATCGAATTGATAGATATGTGTATATGCAATCAACCGTACACACTCACATACAAAACCGTAATTCGTCAATGACACGTTTCACGTTGTAGACCGCAAAGCATATAAAAATCGAATTTCAACAGAAAAACATCACAAGTTCAATGAGAATTTTTCGAATGAAACGAACAAAACTCACTGTCAGATGAGAATGAAAATAAGACAGACAAATGAATATGCTGATCAGAATCTTATTGCGTAGAGAACAATAAATTTGCATTATGCATGAACACTTCAAGGCATTTCTTCACAACCTGAACGACCGACTGAGGATAGCAATTGCAATCATATCAAGCGATGATCTCATGATTCTCAGTCACATTCAAGTTTCGAAAGCGATAACATTGCGATCAAATGCAAACATTCGAATCATTTTGCACGTACACTTCATGATTACCTTGTAGCAGCGATGAATCAAAACGATACTTTTACAGTGAACGAACGTTTCAATAGTACCTCGAATCTGTTCTAGGATCGGTGGCTATTGAAACTAAACAAAATGCACATATCATATTCTCAAATACCATCAAACGAAACAGACAAACAACTCGAATAAATTATTGCACAAAAAATGCCAAAACAGATAATATTCAACAGTTCAACAACGTAACAAAAACAATGGGAATGTTCAAAAAATAAAGAGAAAATCAATACTTTCATTGAAATGAACTCATTTCCTAACAATACACAGTAGAATAAAACAACTTAAGAGCTATGGACGGTTTTCTCGAACCTCGTTCCTGTTACTGTTCGAACGAAAAATGGAATTTGGGATGAACATGCAGATTAGTCATGAAGAAATTAGGCGAGAGTGAGGCCGTTTGGAGAGAAATTCCTTGCTCGTTTTTGAATGAAACAATCACCGTCCACAACGATGATTACCCATAAAACATTTCAAATGAAATCAGAACCGTATCTAGAAAATCAAGTGAGTACGAAAGAAACAGATTATGAGTAGAACGTCAGAACTGACGTCTGATTGCCTCGAACCATCAAAGTTGGCGGTAGTTCTCTGGTCATCACATCCAACCATGCCATATATAAACAGCTACTTACAAGGCCTTTTCTGGGCACTGGTAATGTCCTGAAACGATGAATCCTCCCAATGATGCCTTCAAACTTCACTAATTGCAACAAAAAATCTCATTGAAACTCAAAAAAACTAACAAGTAAGAGTAAGAGATTATAACATTTTTAAACGTTCTCGAAAATCGCTAGTATGCGAACAACTGACTCATGAACTGGACAAAATTTCCAAAAAAATAAAGGAATAAAGACTCACAAAACAACAAGATCAGCCTCCGATGAATGTTCGCGTAACAACTCTGCACATCGCAATTGACGACAGGTTTTCTCTTTTTGAGCGGCCAGTTCGGAGTCCGTTATAAGACCCTTTCGCTCATTGCCATCAGTGGCTCGGAACGGTTCAATGAGCCGTTCGAATTCCTCTTGTCTGCAACGTATTATCGTTTGTTCACGTATGGAACTGTTTGACAAAATTCCCCTGGACAGCATATCCACGCGATGGCTTCATTCTCATATATTCACTGGGATCAATTGGCAAGCAATGAAGCATAGCGATTGAAACAGAAGAAGTGATAGAAATATACGTTTGCGGCATTGGTTTCCTTCCGATGTCTGCAATAACGGACACGTTCGAGAAGTCGATCCGGAACTTGCTCAGCAACGCAGCCATACTTCGTTGCTCTTGCTCCATAGTCGTCGAAGACGTCGAGATCGTGAACACTCGCATACGAGCACCCTCAAACATCAACTTTTCTCAAAACGAATCAATCAATCGCACAACAGAAACGATCAACCGAACGAACCTTCTCGCAGATCATTTCTCTCAAACATGAACTAAAAACTGCTTGTGATAATGAACATTTCGTCTTCATTATCACAAGCAGTTACTATCGCTATGATAAGCATAACTACAACCAGCATCACTGCAGTATTATAGAGATGAAACGATAGACTGAGAACAACCTCCAGATAACTCTTCGGCACGGTCAGAAGATGTGGTATCAGAAGTGTTAATCCACCGTCATCATATAGCCACCAAACATCAATTGTGGCACCTTTGATTTTACGTTGGAAACGACTTATTGATGCCACCAATTCACGTTGTGCAGCCGTTGGCCGTCTTGAACTGAAAACATGCAATCATTTGGTCCCACGATTACAAACTCCATAACAGATCGACGATCTACAACATATATGAGCTAATCAACCACTCATATTTGCAAAATCATCCTTTCGCAAAATTCTCATTCGATTCAGTCCAAAATTTCAAATCGACCGTGAACATTAGTTTTCGAAGTGATTAGCTCATAGATGTCAGTTTAAAGAACGAAAACGTTTCGTAGCCATTCCAAACGAAAAACAAATACAAAACCAGACAGAGCATAAGCAATCAACAAAACGATATACACAATTACAACTGTACACTCTTAAAATTCTCCCACATTGTGTAGAAAGTCGGGAACTCATATCTCTTGATATACTGGAACACTCATATAATTGGGACGCTTCATTCTTCATGATCTTCAATAAGAGATCGCCCAGCTACTCACTATTCAAACAGCTAACTACTTTAATCCTTCTCATCGAACAAAACAAATCGTATTTTTATTGTATCAACGATGGAATTTTAAACAAAATTATCACATTTCATTCATGCTGTATCAAAATCAGATCGGGAAATACCGAAACTAAGTGATAGTCAGAAATTATGCTCAATGAAATTCAAACATAACAAGGCCCAATCTGTAAAATGTTCAATACTCAATAGAGTTGATTTAGTAACAAATGGCAATTGTTTCAGTTGTTGTAAGCCTAATATTAATAAGAATAATAAAGAGATGTTGCTGAATTAACGATGCAATAATCACATTCAATAACCACAAAAGCCGCACAACCACTGAAGTCAACAAAGCACAGAAAGAGTGCACATTCAAAAAAAAAAACTGTTTTCGTTTCATTTTCGATTTCTTGAAAATGCGCTACTGCAAAATAGTTGTGTGCACATAACACAGAACATGGTCATCAAAAGCAGTTCATTCATTCATTCATTTATTCACTGTGGAAAAGAGGTCTTAGAGAAACGACAACATAATTACAATCACGCAAAACCTGCCGCGGTCTGCACTGTTTGCACTTCTTTGCATCGTGTTTCACTCGTTCACCGAGTGAAAATGGGAAAAATGTTGAACGTCTCAACGCTTTCAGATAGCAGCTAGAAAATGCCAAAAAGTTTTTCGATTAATGAAAAGATCAATGTCGTACACATCACGAGATCATCACTTAAAAATTTGCCATATGAGTAAAACATTCCAAATCTGGACACTTTAATCATGACCAATTACTGTCAAATTTTACTCAGAAATGCTTCAACATACTCATGACTATTTCCACTACATCAAATATAGATATTGCTTCTTACACTGTAAAGTAAAAATTTTCAATTAATATGCTTAAGTTTTGCAAAAAAATTTTCAATTTGACGCAGTAAAAAGTGATTTCATAAGTTCTCAAGAATTTTCTTAAATCTCCTTCATAGATTTATAAAAAGAGTGCTGTTCTAGGTGAAAACGGAACTATTATCTAATGTGCAATACTGAAACAATACATGAAACGTGCACTTCCTGCAATCGACAACACTCGTTATTAGTGCATTTAAATCATTTTCATTTTGTCAGAGGGTTGGTTATCACTTAATAAGCATTCATCTCATTCATGAACACTTGGCTCTATCATATTCTCAAAATCGGGCTGGAAACAGAAAATAACACAAAGTTGGATAGATGTGAAATAATGCAACAGCACAACATTCAAAAAACCATTCAATTAAATAATGATCAATGAAACTTTATAATTCAAACAGAATTTTAACACACCCATCAGCACTTTCAGTGCTTCTTTGCCTCCACAGGAAACGTTTCTTTCTGTGAAACGGAATAATATTTAGAATGGTTTGAGTACTAGATTAGATCCATTGATTGCATTTCGGAGCAAAATTATGTGCAATGCGGGTACAAATGCTCATTGGAATAAAATTCGGCAGAAAAACATGAATGTAATAAACATAATGTGACGTAAATTGGTCGAACGGCAAATGTTTTCACGATCGACTAACATTACTGTAAGGCGTAGTTCTGAGAGTGAAAAACAGTGCAATTCAGATATTAATTGTAAGTAAAGCACTGCGACACTGTAAGGAAATAATGATATTTCAACAGCCGGAATTTCACATCGGAGTCGAGTTGATCACTATGGTACGATAATGAATACAGAAACTTGCTGAGCGATAAAATTTTCGGATAAATGGATGAAAATAATAATCTTAATCAATAATCACAATAAACTTTCGCAATCGCACGCTGAAAATCGCACTTCACCTTAAAAATCGCACTTCACAATGACGTCCATTTTAAATGCATAATTCTCTAACAATTGCAATACGAGGAAAGAACAAGGAAGGTGAGATTTCAGTACGACAGTTCAGTTATTTGAAAATACTGACCTTCTTCTTCGAAGTAGGGTCAAGTGTTCGTATCGACTTGGCGTATGCGAACTTCTTACTGTTCTTTCAACCTGAAAAAAGAACAAAAGAGCATAAAATAAAATAA